TCCTTACCGAATTCCGCGCAAAATGTATTTCTTGCTACCACTCCCAGCAGCTTTCGATCTACTGGCAACTTTCGTTGCCAACATCGGTCTTCTATACGTGACCGTTAGTGTTTTTCAGCTCATGAAGTGCACAGTCATCATCTTCGTGGCGCTACTGAAAGTATTTGTGCTCAAAGACCGACTACGCAGCTACATGTGGATCGGTATCGGTCTCAACATGTTAGCAGCGTTAATGGTGGGCGCTACAAGTCTCGCAGACTCCGACAGTCAAGATAACAATTCGGCCAATCAACATCCAGCATTCGGCGTATTTATGGTGGTACTTAGCTGCGCGATCCAAGCCGTACAATACGTTCTCGAAGAGAAACTCATGGACGAAGGCGACAGTGCACCGCCCCTAGTGGTCGTGGGTATGGAAGGCGTTTGGGGTTTAATACTGACGTCGTTCGTAGTGTACCCAATTGCGTATTTGGTCCCGGGCAACGATTTGGGTTCACACGAGAGATTCGACGACGCGTATCAGATGCTGATGAACAGTGGCTTGGCTCAGATGGCTGTACTCATTTATTTACTGGTGATTATGGGCTACAACGTGTTCGCCGTGTCGGTCACGTATCTTTTGAACTCAATTTGGCACGCAATTCTGGACAATTTCCGTCCAATTACAGTCTGGGCCACAGATTTGCTGCTGTTCTATTTTTTTACGCAAGGAGAATTTGGTGAACGGTGGACAATTTGGAGTTGGCTACAACTTGTTGGTATGCTGACGTTGTTAGCGGGCACGGCCGTGTACAACGGTACTCTGCGTCTTCCGGGCTTCGTGTACTTGGAGCCATTGGACGAAGCGATGACTCCGATCCGAACGCCAGAGGCTCTTACTGCGTCTGCGTTCTCACGTTCGCCGCTGATTACGCGCAACGCTATGAAGGCTGCAGAGATTGCTCGTCGGACGCCAAATCCCAATGACCGCGACCGTGTGAGACGCGAATTCATGACTGAGTATCAACCACTGGCCGATTCCGAGTCTCGACGACGCATTGACCCAGCTGGACACACGTACGGATCGCTTGAAACTTAAAATGAAAGATGACTTACCACGGTCAGCAACTTTTGAGCTTCTTTGCAAAGATACAATGTTTTTTTTTTTTTAAATTTGGTTGTTTTTTCACCGGAAGATGACAATCCACAACAGACATTTAACCAATTATGTTCGTCCATTTCGATAAAGTACCAATCAGACATATTCGAAGTGATCTTGAATGACGAACTCACATTGCTCTACTGTATTCAAACCTTTGCTTAAGTTTATTCAAACCTTTGCTTAAGTTTATTCAAACCTTTGCTTAAAAACGATAATGATTATCATCATGAATGCTTTCCAGAATAAAGGATCAGTGTGTGTTAATATCCTTGTACTTATGGAACCCTTGTAGGTCTTCCTTGGAATAACTTTCCTATCAGAGGAGAGAGCTCGATCTTTCAACGACCACCTCGACTACTTT